CACCTTTATATTATAATAATGATTATTTCAGTGCATTCTAATTCCTTTGAGGCTCTTTTTTTTTTTTTTTTTTTTTTGTTTTGTAAAGCCAGGAGCCAAAGTTTCCCTAATTTTGAAGACAGCTAGAAACTATATGTCGTGTAAATGTCTGAGCAATTCAGCCACCTCCCTGCATGAATGAAAAAAGACTTCTATTTGAAATTCTAATACAAACATATTTATGTGTTATTCGCGGTCAACAGAAAGAAAAAAGAGACATTCTCCGACAGCGCCGCGCGTTCGCCCCCTCGCTGCGCGTTCAGGGCAGGAGCTCAGAATGATGAGGCGCAAGTTCGGAGTGATGAATTTGAGTTTGTTTCTTCAGCGCGCGCGGCTGAGCTCGAGGCGGTCCCTGGGGTCCGCCCACAGAGTTTTTGCAACACTCGCTTTTTCTTTGATAATCAGGAAGAAAGCATCGTGAACGGCCTCCGCGGTACGCATCGTGGTCACAACTTTGACCTTTCCAGGAGGGAGCTTTGACTGTGTCCTTTATTTTCCTCCCAGGAAAAAAGCCTTCTTCATAATCAACGACCTGATGTGCAAACCGAGCGGCGTGCTTGAAAAGTGAACCGGGGAGGAGTGAAACAGAATAATAATGCTGTGCTCGTGAGAACGTTCCAGGTCTACAAAATAAAGCAAGCGTATTCATGCACTCCACAACTGCACTGGAACTGACAAAGAAACTTGTGTGTAACTTCTAACCCAGAGGGAGAAAAAGAAGCAGCACATTTCGGTGCACGGTATTTTGATGCATGGTTGCTGTATGTAGGTTACGGTGTAGGTGTCATGTCATTAAAGATTTTCATGGCCTGCCAGTGTTCTCTTTAAAAAATTATGTCTGCTCCTGGTACAGTGACTTACCAGGTACAGCTGCTACTTATTTCAATCACAAATCTATGCATGCACGCATATGCACAAAAACACGTGCACACACACTCACTCACACACACACACACACACACACACCAACCAGTCACTCAACTAGTTAAGCAGATATTGATCGAGTATTTGCACAATAACAACTAAAAGAAGCCCGCTATCAGTTTGTTGCATTGCGACCAGCAGTGCAGAATACAGTGAATACAGTGCCCTGCAGGGGCCACTCTTGTCTATGAAACATCACAAAACTTTACAAAAAAAAGTTTTTTTTTTCTCCTGTTATCATTATCACTACTTAGGTCTTATAAGAACTCATATAATAAATGACTTTGTATGTTAGCAAAAATAAATAAATAAAGGGAAGTCCAGAGAGTTGTGCCAACTGCTGCATTCATCTTTTGATTTCATGTGTTGGAAAAACCATCTTAAATTGTTTTTTTTTTTTTTAATTGCTTGCACTATTGTATTGAGCCTCTAGTTTGGGATTCATTTGTTCAAAGAAAAATTATGCCGAAATCACCTTTTTGGCACACCTCAATCCCGGGGGGCCTTAATTTGGAGAGGACAGGAAGTCACGCTTTCAGTCAGTAAACGGTAAATCGCCTCTTTATTTAATCTGACAGGTTTAATAAGTAACAGCTGAGTGCTACACAGTTTGTAACCAGCCGCTGGTTGCCGGCCATTCGGTGGTGGGTTTGGCAGGTTACTCGTGGGGACCGCATCACCATTTCGTAAAGACAAAGCCACTCTTTTATACCCGCAATGTCTCCATAATGACTCGTGTGTGGATGTGGAAAAAAAATAGTGGTAATAAAATATGTTCGACAAACATAAAAAGGTCAGAGATGACGTGAAATGGGCAAGTGAATCCCCGATGACTATATCATTAAGTGGGGAAGTTCTATTTGTAGCATTTCTCGTTATTTACACAGAACTTGAAAAAGAGCACCAAAATAAACATGGTTTGGATGAGAATGTGGTGAAATTACAGTAGTATTTTTGTGTCACTCTGTACATTCGACATTTCAGTCAAATTAGCATCTATGGACAAGAATATATCACTTCAACTGCTTGGACCTGTCCACATCAGTTTTGTAAAACAAATGGGATCGATTCCATTGAGTCTAACATTGTAACTGAGTTTGCTATTGTTATGGATAAATTGTAGTACGAGAGTTCTAGACTGTAACATTATATTTATTGTTCATTTTATTATTTTTCATGTATTTACTGTTTTTTTTATTTTGATTACTTTTCTTTCTCTCACATCACTCCCTGTTCAGTTCCCACGAGTTTGTTTATTTCCTCACTCCCATACTCGCCCTTCCTGTTGTTTGTTAATCACTTCCTGGAGTTTTCTTGTTTGTAACCACACACTCAGTCACACATCCCTGTTTCTGCAAACCTGATTCCCATACTTTTCTGTCTTAGTTTCTCCCTTTACTGTACATACGGGTGTTTCTACAGAAAAGGGCACAATTGCGGTAAAGACATGTCCTCCAAAAATTTTCTCTGGGATTCCACTTTTTTTAAATTCCTCAAATAGGCCTTCCAAAGTACTAGTCAATATTAAAATGGCAAAGCTGGGTTATGGCTGGTTTCATTTTTTTGAAGAAACTTTAAGATGGTCAGGTGTCTTTACCGTAATCAACAATTACGGTAAAGACGAAGTGACATACCTCTTTACCGTAATCACTGTTTTTGGCAAATTGCACTGAAGAAAGGAGTATCATACTTCCTGCATGAATCTTTTGGTCATTCAAACATGTCAAAGGCATTGAAAGGTTCATTGTTAACTCTAGTCTGAGTGTGTGAAGACATGTCTCCACCTTTGCTGTACAAATATGCACTGGCTGTGAAGGGTGAGGAACTTTTGCAGATTGTGTTATTTTGGGGGAAGGGCCCAAATGCCAAATTAACTATATTCCAGCATGCCCCTGCATAATTTTTCTATACCGTAAAGTACCAGTAATTTATATATCCCAAAATGGACCGTTTTGCCAGAGCCTCAAATATTTCACCCTTCACAATCAATGCATGCGTCAAGACAGTGAATATACTAGTGAGTCAAAATTCTGCATACAAAGTTTATTTCGAATAAATGCAAGTTCGAAACATAAAAATTTTTAACATGGAAAACACCGGACACCTTGGCAGAGCAGTTGATTATTACATAGGCCTAATAAATTCTGAGTACTTTTCATGTCAGAGAGTCAGGGTACAGTACCTTTAAACAATGGAGACAAATTCATTAAAGTTCATTCATTAAAAATTATCAACATGAAACAATAGAACAATGTAATGCTCAAAATAAAACGGTAATCTATTGTAAATTTTTTCAGCCAAAGTAAAATCCTTTGTGGCTAATAGGCCAGTCATCAAGCCCATTTTCTAATTTTTCCACACATTCCACAACAACTAAAATTCAAAACCAGGAACATTTTCAACAACAAATTGCCAATAATGACAAAATTGCATCTGAAATTCAATTCGGGGATGGTTTGCGGATGCTTTATTTTTTCCAATTTCCTGGAATGTCCTAACTCTCTCTTGAATGGCTTTCAGTTGACGCTCATTCAGGGTAAAAGGTGGGGGACCATCAAAGTTCACTTCAGTCAAAACCAAACTTTTTGTCATAGTTTCAATATCATCCCTCTTAGGCCAATCATACATGCATTTTGTAGCCCTTTCCCCTATTCTCTCTAGAAACTTTAAGGCGACCATATCCTGTTCTGGGCTGTTCTTCAAGACTCCACCAATGTAGAAAGTCCCTTTTGACCCACATTTCGTTGTGTAGTACATAGCCAGGAACTGAAGCACTTCAAGAAAATTGTCCCTAATGGTCACAATCTCTTTTGGATGGTCCACTCTGCCAAGTTCTGTTTTTGACTGGGCTGGAAGTGGAACCTGCTTAGGGGCTTTATGTTGTTTTGGGAGGGTTACTCGAAGGGGTGAATGACAACTACATGTTTCTCCCCCTGCTACCTTACCATCACAATAACAAGACAGTTTTCTGTGATTTATGTTGTTTGGTTCAAGGCAGACTATTTGATGGATCTCCATGGTTCCTTTTATTGAGCTGGATAGAGGATTAGCTTTGACCAAATTAACTACAGCATCAATTTCACTGGGCAAGATTTTGAAGACTGTGATGTTAAGCCTGTTTCTCAATTCTGAAAGCTGCTCAATGTTCAGAACATCATTGCCGTGGGAAACAACTTGATCTGCAGCATTTTTAATGACAGCACCAATGCCATCTGCAGGCCTTTTTCCCATGAGATGACTCCAGGAAGTTCCAAGTAACTTTTACAAACCCCATCAGAAACAGGAGGTTCGATAATAGTGTAAAATTAGTTTTATTCCTGTACTGGTTCGTCGGCCCATCTGACACAACATGAAGTGCAGTCACACCCCGATCTCTCAAATCTTTTTTTCAGAACTGGTTCTAAATGAGCCCAAACAGATTCAGGGCTGTGCCTGGTGTCCTCACTTAGGGTGCAGCAACACTTCGTTTTCAAACCCTTGAATGTGGCGTGACAGGTGTGTAGTGTGAAATTTGCGTGCGACTGGCCCCAAAATGAATTTCACTTGATGCCTTGCAAGCATAATTCTCACTGAAATCCACTTGGAGCACACAATCATGATCCAGGAGTTTCTGTTTGAGGCTACGGATAGAAGCATATTGGTGAAAAATACGATACTGGTGTGGCAAAAGCATTATAAGGTCATCTTCAAGTGAACAACTGAGATTTTCTATGGTATCTTCTAGGGTGTCCTTTGACTGAATACTCACAGTAATTTCTTCCCCTTTGACATTTTGGCGAGTCTCTTTATGGAACTGCCACTGGGAGTATTTTGTGAGTGCAGAGTATACTGGCTTTTTGCCCTCTTTGTAAATGTTACCTACCCTACCTTTGCAGTCTTGACATTCCCTGTACATGCACTTCTGTTCCTAAAGAGCCAAAAGGTTTGTGCATGTGTAAAAAAGTTTTGAACTTGTGAGATAGTTTTGAGCTTGTGTAAAAAAGCTTTGAGTTTGTAAAATGGTTTTGTGTGTGTGCAAAAATGTTTTGAGCTAGAGCTGCCGGATAGCTCACTCGGTAAAGCATCGCGTTGTGAAGCAGAAGTGAATATCGCGGTGCGGGTTCGATCCCCGCCTCGTACCAGCCAACAGTGGTCGGCAGCAATTGGCCAATGCACTACAGGGATGCAAATTTGGAAGGGTCTGCAGGGAAAGGGTATTGTGAATAACAAGTTCTCAGGCACCTCCTGTTGGCCAGACGGGCGGTCGTTAGGAAGAAATAATCTGCAAAGTGAGTTTGGAAGAGGTGGACATGGGCACGGACACGGGTCACAGGCATCAAAATTTGATTTTAATATGATCTTGTCTTTACTGTAATTTTGATGTCTTTACCTTAATTCCAAAAGATAATGGTAAAGACGCCGGTAAAGACATATAATGCAGCCCCATGGAAATTTGCAACCAATGTGAGGGCTGAAGTTTCCCTTATTTCCTACCTCTCTGAAAAGGTTTCTAATCAAGCATAACCTCATAAAGGTTGTTGTGTTGTTGTTGTTGTTGTTTTTGTTTTAGGGCAGGATTGACATCTGCTGGACAGCTGTAGAACTAAAATAGCTGACTGATTACGGTAAAGACAGGGAAAACCAAACTTAACGGGCACCTGCTTTTGGTCGAGGGGAAAGGGTTAATCCTCTTTTTTCCTGAACCAATAGCTATTGTAATGTAACTTGAAATACTACAGAAGACTTGTTCCTGGTGGCAAGTCTGAGTCATCAGTGAAAAGGGTTTAATTTTCAACATAATTTTCTGTTGGCTCAATTTTGAATGATTACGGTATGGACATCATAATCTGACCTTGGACGTCAAGGTCATTGGAATGAGTGTCCCTTTTAAAGTTGCCCCTAATTGCAAATATCATGTCCAATATTTCTAGCCCCCACATGAATAGGAAAGCTAAATTCCATTGTGAAAAAAATGGGTGGACCGTCTTTACCGTAATCGTGCCCTTTTCTGTAGAAACACCCATACCAGCACTTTTATTTGTATCTTTGCAAGTTTGTTGCCCTGGTTTTTCTGAGTTGCTTACGAGCCTTGTATTTTCTGAGAGATCTAATTTCTGGTTACAACTTCACTTGGTTAAATGGTTGACGAGACCATTCTCCACTGTGTATTGTGTATTTCTGTGCTGAAACTTTGGCTGGCCTCCTGACTTATGATTTGGATTTCCCTTCACGCTGGCCTTCTAACCATTTGGATATTGAACCTTGAGCTGATCTTTGACCACAATTGGAATTTGCCCCTCTGTACTTCATGCGCGCTGTTTGGCTTTGACCTGGCTTGCTTGAATAGGAGTACATCAGCTAATAAACTGATTCAACTGCATTACTGTCAGCGCTAGAGTCCTGAGTCCAGTCCAAGTCATATACATGTATGTGCACACAAAACTATCCACTCATTCATTTTCTAAACCACTTATTAATTAACTTATTAAATACCTATTTTGCTACCTTTGCAGATAATCTCTACTGGCCAGCCTAGATAAACAAGTTTCAAACATTTGATAGAAGTTTTGTTCTCCCACAGTAAAAAAAAAAAAAAAAAAAAAGAAAAGAAAAAAACATAAAAATCTTTTAAACATGCACCATTAGCATTGTAATACAATATAGGCAAGCTTGCTTAGCATAGCTTCATTTCTGCATATGTGCCGCTGGCATTTTTGCAATCATGGGAAAAAGACATCCTGTATAAACTGAACAATAAGCAATAAAATCAATTAAAATGCATGCTTCCTATCACAGAGCTAATAATGTTAATTTTATCAGTTCCATTCAGCTTCCATTTCACTGGGGGCATTTGCACTATCCAAGTCTACAAAACATTAAAAAAAAAAAAAAACACTCCGCATGGCCTACACAGGCCTTAATCCTGGCCTACTGTCCTGGATAACTCCAATAACGTTATATGCCTCTGCCACCCTCCCACCAGGAGTGAGAAACTGAAGTCCATATAGTTGTTCCTAGAAGGAAACGGCACCTCACCCCGCTTGGATGGCAGCCCAGGACCGAATTTGACTGAACTTGTGGGTAATATAGTCATTCAGACCCTGGTCTTAGAGGACTGCCTCTGGCAAGTTTTTGCGTCCCTGAAAATGGCATTACATGACAATTACAGCGAGCGTTCTTGCTATCGGCTCATGGTGTGTCCATGCCTTTATTAGTCAGTTGTGTGAAAAAGCACCAGTAGCCCATGTTTATGTCGTACAGCTACATGATCATCTTACTCCCTAATTTCAACCATGTCCCACTGATTTGAATGACATTTGTCTGGGGGCACTGGCTACAATATAATATCTACTTTCAGAGTCTTTTATTTGTGCCATTCTCTTCATTGATTTTGGGTTTGCATTCAAAATGAGTCCCCTCTGCATAATATATGTGGCTGCAATCTGATTTAGATGACAGCTGAAAGTTGGCTGTTTTTCTTTTGTAATTCTCATTCAATCTAGTTTAATAGATGTATTTCTCAGTGAGAGGGATTCATTTGCAATGCAAAAGCGGTTTTTCATTCATGGAAAACATGAATTTATTCTACTGGTACCTCTGAGTATCATTGTTACGTATAACTTAATGATGACCTTGCCATTCTTTTCCACACCAGCTACATTGTAAGAATGATACAAAATTTATCAAAGATAAAACATGGAAATATTTTTTTTTTTTTTTTCATTATTGCTACTGCTTTCCATAAGCATGCTGGGCTGGGAATGACCCATTTGAATTGTAAAAAAGCTTCTGAAAAGATCCAAATGCCCACTGTGCCAACTGTGATTAGAAAAAGTTCTGACACAACAAAAAATGTAATTACAAAAGGGACTACCCCCGATTCTTGTTACTTTGTCATTTTTGGCGTCAAAAACAAAGGTATTAATGTATTTTTCAGGTAAAGAGAGGAAAAATTTCAAATGAACAAAACCTGGGAGGTTGTTTTCCTCACAGGCCAGTGACAGATGAAGGGGGGTGCTGGGCTATTTGAGGTTTCGAAGAAGTTTGACATTTGAAAGCTATTTCTGTCATTGTGGAAAATTACACAAAGGTTCTTTCAGGGCAGTCGTGTGAATTATGAAAGAGTCTGCAATAAGGTGGTACGGTTTACTGTTGGAGTGACAGATTTCAAAGGGGACATTCTACCTTCTCACCACACAAAACTGGGGAGCTGGTGTCTCTGGATTGTGGACAGAAATTAACGGCCATCCCAAGCCAAAGTCATCAAACTGCATGCACAGTGGACAGTGTGCTGGGATGAGGAGCTCTAAAGTAATGTCTACTTGTGTAGTCCTCTGTACTCTCATGAGAATTTGACCAGCTCATGGCCAAAATGAAGTTAATAAGTTAACTTAGGTGCGGGAGCAGGGCCACGCCTCAAATCCACCTTCAATCACCGGACAAGCCTATTTATGCCTGTTCAGCCCCTTCCTCTCCGTTTGACTCAGATCTCTCGATAGAGGTGATCAGCATTCTTCAAACCAGCATTCTAAACAGACCCGCATTCTTCAAAACAGCATTCTAAACAGACCCCCATTCTCCAAACCAGCATTCTATCGGACCTGCATTCTCCAAACCAGCATTCTACCGGACCCGTAGTCTCCCCGACAGCATTCTATCGGACCTGCATTCTACCGGACCCGTATTCTCCCTTGTCAGCTTCTCGCTAAGTTAACATTTTTCTGCTATCCGATGTTTCTACTTACCAAGCAACACGGATTCCGGAGTCCAAACTCCAGCTCAACCATCAAACGTCGATTCCGACTCAAATTCAATCGTTCAACCGAACGGAAGTATTCCAACAAATTCTCCAACGCCTTCAGTTCAGATCTTGTCTTCGTTCCAGATTAGACAGACCACCTTCCAAGACGGCAGATCAAAAACAGCTGTTCGCCGCGTCTCACCGGGCTTCTCCCCCAGGCAAAGTTACAACTTCACCGCCTCCAGTCAGCGACTCCCGCTCCGGCGACTCCGTCCAGCGGACGTAACACGCTCCGAATTAAAGGATTTAATTCGCCGAGTTTTCACTAGTGATGTTACCCTCAAAACCAAGGCTTCGGAGCGTGTATCAAAAATGTGAAGCACTTCCTAACGGAGCTCCGTGTCAAGGCTTGTATCGTCTCGGCGAAATGACGTCAACCATTACGTTCGAAGCCTCATTTGGGATGCTGCTTCGAGAAGGGGTTCACTTTCGGCAGTGATTCGACTATAAAATGTCCCATTTCTCTTCTGCAGATCTTCTGTGGGTTGTTGTCAGTAGTTTAAGTTTGCCAGTGCGGTTTTGCGATTTTGTGCGGTAAAAGTAGTTTATCATTGCGTGCGATGGAGCCAGCAAGAAAGAGAAAGTTTTCATCCGTTCGGGAATACTTTGATTTGATTTCACCGAATAAGGTCGCTTCGTGTGGCTAATTATTATGTGATGTCGTATCTTAAAGCTGTTTCAAATAATTTCCAATGCATAATAAATTCCCTTATTTTGATCGTTTTTCTATTTTATTATTAAGGGAAATGCGTATTATTTTTGAACAAAAATACAATGCTCTTTGTTTCACAAGCACTTTCACTGCCTTCTGTCCAGTCCCCGAAAGTATCTTTTAGTTTCGTGATGACATAATTTGTAGTCAAAATATTTGATTTTATTTTGCATTTATTGATTTTGCCACTTTCAGGCTGTAGGCATATGCTTGCCTATCATTTCCCACGAAGCACAATTCGTATGTGTTTTTATTGACCAATAGAGGTCTCTAGAGTGCATTCGAAACCTCAAGAAATGAACCACGCTTCAACACATCTGGCTGGAAAGCCTCAACGCTTCATGAAGCTTCATCTCACCAACACTAGTTTTCACAAATTAAACCACTTTAGCAAGTAAGCTGTACGTAATTTTTACGAGGTTGCCGAGGTTTTTACGAAGAAAAGACTGAGCTGTTTGGCTTGTTTTTGCAATGTTTCGCCTGAAGTAATACCAAGCAAGACGTCCTGGTTTGCCACATCCTCATAAGCCTGACGTCTTCGACTACCATGCCCACCAGAAAACCATTAAAGCAGTAGTCCGCAATTAACGGGCCATTCCCGTTCCGGAAGATTGCGTCCAGTCACTT